GGAAACTTTGAATTGCGAGCCAAAGTTTGTTACGTGGACATTTTACATGAGAGAGTGTTGGGGAGTGCTGGAGAAAGGCGAGTGCAGCTAGCATTCCTCTTTTTTGGTTGAATTTTGTTTGAGGGCCCACAAAAATCCATATCTTGGGGTGATAATTTCCCCATCCTCGCAAAACCCCACGGGGATGCTCACAGTGGGGCGGGGTTCGTGGGAAAATGGAGTAATTTCTCTCCACAAATTTATTGGAGGGATTTTTTCTTACTACGCAGGACCTGTAGGAATTCCCATTCTTGTAAAAAAATTAAGAAAAAAATATAAGTTAATTTTATTTTAAATTTATTTCAACTTAATACATCATAATATATTTTAAAGTTAACTTAATAAAAATTAAATTTAACTTAATTTTTCGCAACTTAATCCAATCCATATTTAATTCTATTATTATATTAAATTAATTTTTATTTATATATAAATAATTTACATTTAATTTTATGTTTAAAAATTTTTAATTAATTATATTTAAAATTTTAAAATTTTATTCATTTTATTTAAATATTAATTAATTATATTTAAAGAAAAAAATTTATATTTTAATATGAAATGGCATGGGATCGATCCCCATACGTGCGAGGGGGGATCCCCATACCTGTGAGGAATGGGATTGGGGCAAAATATGCTCCAGTAAAAAATCTCTGTTTCTGCCATTCATGGGACGGGACGGAGGGGCACTCTATGTCCCCAAGGGACCCTATTGCCACCCCTATTCACATCAACAACACATAAAACTCCTTTCTTATTCCCTTTACCATATGAAAGTCCCTAAATCCCTAAATCAAACCAACCCATCCATGGTTCTAGACAAATTTATCCTTAAATTGGGTATATACATAAAATGATCTTATTTGATGTTTTCTTTCATGCTCTTCAAGCTAGAAAAATTCAATGGCAATAGCTCCAATTCTAGACAGTCAGGACAAGATTCATAAACAAAGTATCAATAAATTAAAGCAAAAGAAATTGGCAAAGTATGCAATGCAATGTAAGACTAAGGCGACTTATGAGCAAACTTATGGCCCCTTTGGCTACATTTGTAGAAGTACATCGAATCTCCAGATTTCCAAATATCAATGGGTAAGCCACCAATCCCCTCCTATAGCATTTGAACAAATGAAACATCAAAATATCGTAGTTAAACACAGTAACACCAAGAAAAGCAAGAATTTTAAGCACTGAAATGTAGAAAAAAAAAAAAAATTCAATTCCTTGTGGTGAAATTGTTACCAATTTGAAGAAGAAGCTTTGTTTCGCCAACCGCTAAGGGTACCACTTGAGATCAAACGCCACATGGCTAGTGAAGAACGAAATCAAGCCCAAGCAAAAGATGAGAATAGCAAGAGGCCACAAACAATTGCCTAGGAGATTGGCTTCCTTAGATGCGCCACTGCAATCCTCTGACACGCTGGCTTGTTGCTGCCGTCATTCTGGTGCTGTAACAGCATCGCGCTCGTCTTGGCCACGCTCACCATGGACCTTGTGATAAAAGCAAATTATAATCTACTCCCAAAACAATCGATCAGTGACAAATTCTTCATAATCCTTGTACTAAAAGCACATTATAATATAAAAGAAACACAAAAATCTTCAATTTTAGATGAGGTACAACAAGACATTTCGATTTCGACTAAAAATCTGGTTAAAGTTCCTAGACGAAACAGCTTGAAGGAAACATAACTATGAGTTACTTGGCTTGCCGTAATCTCTGGTGCTCTTTCCCCAAATTGTCAAGTTCAGCCTGTATTTCTGGTATTTTATTAAGATCGGCACAAGTTTTCTGCAATTCCTGAGATGCCTATAGAATTTGGGAATTCAATTCTTGTATGCCTTTGACCAAGCTCTGTGTCTCAAGAAGTGCCTGTTGCAGGTCCTTTCCATATTC